CATGGCTAACTCACAGATCAAACCCTGAAACAACCTCTGAGCTGATCTAAGTCAGGGCATGGCTAACTCACAGATCAAACCCTGAAACAACCTCTAGGCTTGTTTTTACGGATTTCGAACGAACTTATCTGATATGATTCTGTGAAAAAGTTACTTGATTCTTGAAGAGGAGTACAATTAAATCTCAAATTGTACTCTATAAAGTTCCAATTAATTTGCTTGAAATTTGTTGAGTGTGTCATAAACAAAAAATCTTACGATCGCACGATCTTCTCGTACAATTCGGAATTTATAGATACTCGTGATGTTTTGAAAGTCAATTTGGACTCACCTGAAAGGCTCGTCCAATTTTGAAAACTTTCAAAACATCACTCGTACCTATAAATTTCAAATTGAACTCGAAATAAATAATACAAAGATCCCAAAATTTTCGGTCTGTTTTGAAAGCGAGTTTTACGACATTTTGGGAAACAATGGCGTTCCTTAAAGCATCCCCATGCTTCTGTTCGCGCCTTACTCGTTACCAGTTTCCCACATAACCTAGGATAAGCCCCCCCCCAAAAAGGCAAAAAAAAAAAAAAAAAAAAAAAAAAAAAAAAAAAAAAAAAAGAAAACGTATACGAACACATCAATACTCACCGTCACTCGCGGACTTGACACATACAAACTAACCACATCACTTCGTGGTCTTGATAGAGGGTTGTAGAATACTACACTCCTGTTGATGGAAACAAGAACTATCATGAATAATGGATAAAGACGTATCGAAATGCATTTTTCCTACTTCAATTACTCCTTGTTGTTTTTTTCTTTTTTTCTTTTCACTTCTCCTTCCTTTCTTCTTCTTCCTTCCCGCGTTCCTTCCTCCCTTTCCTCCCTGCTTCCATTTCTTCCTTCCTTCCTTTCTTCCTTCCTACTCCCACCCTATCACCCTATCACCCTCAGCTCTTCTCTCCCTTCCTTTTATTTCTCACTCTTCCCTTTTCCCTACCATCCTTGACCTGTCTCCATTTTCATAACACATCAATAAGCCTTTTAATAGTTTAAGAATCGATTCCACTGCGCATGCGATTTTATCCCGAATTTCTCACCTTCTTTTGTTTAATTAAGAACAAAAGAAGGTTTAAACAAAAGAAGGTAAGAAATTCGGGATAAAATCGCGTGCGCAGTGGAATCGATTCTTAAACTATGAAAAGGCTTATACCTTGGAGTGCTCGATACTATGATGGTTTCCTTCTGAGGAATGGAGTCCTGAGCAAGTCTCTCTTCAGCCTAAAATCAAATCAAATCAAACAATATAACAGTTTTAACAAATATTGGACGAGGTTGAACATGTTGTGGTGAACCTGACGACACGGATACGACAAATACGGACATTTTCCCCCAGCATCCAAGAGGTATCTATCGCCCTTGTTGCGTGATGTTGTACATTCGCCGTGCTCTACGACAATTTGTTTTGTTTTGAAAAGAGTGCAGCTACTATGTCCATCACCTTGTCATTATATGATCATCTCTGTTACCATCATGATAATTTTTACTTTATTAACTTGCTGCTGACGCCACTTACTATTTTTAGACGCGGTACGTGATTCCCCGGTGACTCAGCTTTGTCCTTCAATAGCAGAAAATGTGCAGAGTCTTTCATAACTTGCTGCATGTCGCGGAGGGATTTGTGTAGCCTGTCACGATAAAGATATGAGAACAATGAGTGGTGGACGCCGCTAATTCGCTGTCTATCCCCGCTGTGGTCATTCGTTCGACACCCGTCTTCCCATGTGTGTAGAGCGCTCCTGTGCTTCAAAGCTTAAATTCTCCTTATTCCCCGGTTTTTCCTCCCTCCACAAAAATCAACTTCTAAATTCCATTTCGATTTGGCGTCCAGTGCTTTAATCATCAGCCCCTGGGTTGGGAAACAGAGCACACAATATCCGCGTTATTCAAGTATACTAAATCAATAGGCCCTTTGCAGCTCAGTGATCACGTACTGATTAATTCACTGAGAGCAAATGAATGAACATCTTGATTCCCATGAAATTTGCTGGAGAGCAAACACACTTTCTACAACCTGTTTCCTTCAGTTCTCTACAAATAGCTAAAAAGAATAATCAATTTAAAATAATAACAAAAATTTTGCTCTCCCGTACAGGTACGTGTCCCGCCGTTAACTGCAAAGAGCCCATTGCCGGCGATTTCCGGCGTTATGTGCCCACATGTTTTTTTGGTTATACATCTTGTCTCCTGTCACCCTATTTTTTTCAATCGAAAAAATCCTGATTTATCTGTTTTTCAAAGAGCAGTCCCCTGAGCCAGAGACTCAATAGCGTTTCCCATGGATGACGTCACGATTGTTCATCATCATGGAAGTCAAATGCGGACAAGCCAAGCCCAGTTCCAAGCTAAAATGTTGCAGCAATGTCATGTTTTGTTGTATTATTGTTTTCAATTTCCTTGTAACCCAAGACTTTGTTTACAAAGTTTGTCCGCATATCAACCTACAGAGCTTTGCGGTGTATATTTTGAGCAGGAATCTGAAAACAAAACCCTATGACTACTCTAATTCCAAACCCCACATTCTCTGTTAAATAAAATTTGTATTTGAAGTGTCTATCTTTGTGGTAAAAAACCTATCAGTTCCATAACCTTTCCATGACCTTTATAATCTTTTCCAATGATTTTTCCGGGGCTGGAGTGGAAATGTCAAAAGACATGACTTTAAAGTGCAAATGAACCCTTCCACAATACTTTCAGTACTGATTCTACATAAAGTAAATATTTGAATGGTAAANCAATAAGCCTTTTAATAGTTTAAGAATCGATTCCACTGCGCATGCGATTTTATCCCGAATTTCTCACCTTCTTTTGTTTAATTAAGAACAAAAGAAGGTTTAAACAAAAGAAGGTAAGAAATTCGGGATAAAATCGCGTGCGCAGTGGAATCGATTCTTAAACTATGAAAAGGCTTATACCTTGGAGTGCTCGATACTATGATGGTTTCCTTCTGAGGAATGGAGTCCTGAGCAAGTCTCTCTTCAGCCTAAAATCAAATCAAATCAAACAATATAACAGTTTTAACAAATATTGGACGAGGTTGAACATGTTGTGGTGAACCTGACGACACGGATACGACAAATACGGACATTTTCCCCCAGCATCCAAGAGGTATCTATCGCCCTTGTTGCGTGATGTTGTACATTCGCCGTGCTCTACGACAATTTGTTTTGTTTTGAAAAGAGTGCAGCTACTATGTCCATCACCTTGTCATTATATGATCATCTCTGTTACCATCATGATAATTTTTACTTTATTAACTTGCTGCTGACGCCACTTACTATTTTTAGACGCGGTACGTGATTCCCCGGTGACTCAGCTTTGTCCTTCAATAGCAGAAAATGTGCAGAGTCTTTCATAACTTGCTGCATGTCGCGGAGGGATTTGTGTAGCCTGTCACGATAAAGATATGAGAACAATGAGTGGTGGACGCCGCTAATTCGCTGTCTATCCCCGCTGTGGTCATTCGTTCGACACCCGTCTTCCCATGTGTGTAGAGCGCTCCTGTGCTTCAAAGCTTAAATTCTCCTTATTCCCCGGTTTTTCCTCCCTCCACAAAAATCAACTTCTAAATTCCATTTCGATTTGGCGTCCAGTGCTTTAATCATCAGCCCCTGGGTTGGGAAACAGAGCACACAATATCCGCGTTATTCAAGTATACTAAATCAATAGGCCCTTTGCAGCTCAGTGATCACGTACTGATTAATTCACTGAGAGCAAATGAATGAACATCTTGATTCCCATGAAATTTGCTGGAGAGCAAACACACTTTCTACAACCTGTTTCCTTCAGTTCTCTACAAATAGCTAAAAAGAATAATCAATTTAAAATAATAACAAAAATTTTGCTCTCCCGTACAGGTACGTGTCCCGCCGTTAACTGCAAAGAGCCCATTGCCGGCGATTTCCGGCGTTATGTGCCCACATGTTTTTTTGGTTATACATCTTGTCTCCTGTCACCCTATTTTTTTCAATCGAAAAAATCCTGATTTATCTGTTTTTCAAAGAGCAGTCCCCTGAGCCAGAGACTCAATAGCGTTTCCCATGGATGACGTCACGATTGTTCATCATCATGGAAGTCAAATGCGGACAAGCCAAGCCCAGTTCCAAGCTAAAATGTTGCAGCAATGTCATGTTTTGTTGTATTATTGTTTTCAATTTCCTTGTAACCCAAGACTTTGTTTACAAAGTTTGTCCGCATATCAACCTACAGAGCTTTGCGGTGTATATTTTGAGCAGGAATCTGAAAACAAAACCCTATGACTACTCTAATTCCAAACCCCACATTCTCTGTTAAATAAAATTTGTATTTGAAGTGTCTATCTTTGTGGTAAAAAACCTATCAGTTCCATAACCTTTCCATGACCTTTATAATCTTTTCCAATGATTTTTCCGGGGCTGGAGTGGAAATGTCAAAAGACATGACTTTAAAGTGCAAATGAACCCTTCCACAATACTTTCAGTACTGATTCTACATAAAGTAAATATTTGAATGGTAAAATATTTCTTGATTTGAGTGACGCCTCTCTAAGTTATGAAGGTTTATACTTCCAATATGTTAATGATGATGACGTTAGGTAAGGTATTTGAGTGTTTTTGTTGTAACTAGTAATACTAAATGCTGGCAATTTTGAAAATAAAAATTTTGAATAGCTTTCATGTAAACCATGAGTAAAATAATGGTGCTTTTTAAATACTGTATCTGTGAACCAGTTCGATTTTGTCTATTTAATTAAGCCTTAATAGACGTCGCACTCATTAGCATATTGGAAGTATAAACCTTCATAAATTAGAAACACATCACTCAGATCAAGAAATATTTTACCAATCAACTATTTACTTTATGCAGAACCAGTACTGAATGTATTGTCAAAGGGGTCACTTGCACTTTAACGACTTTCCCATAATGGTGTGAGCCCTGCTCTTGTTTACACTTTTAATCCAACATGATATTATCCACATCGAAATGGAATGCAAAAGGCGATCTATAATAACTAAAGAAAACCATACCTATTCCCATAATCAACGACCACAAAGTCTTTAGCAGTTCCTGTAATCCCATCATGGTGTTGGAATAGCCCCATATTCTGTCTGGCTTTAGTAAGTAGTTTGTAAAGTTCATCAGAAGCAAAACTAACAGAGCCTTTTTGCTTGGCGCGTGAGTGGGCTAGATAGAACAAGACCTCTGCTGCACGGTGATGAGATTCCATGACTCGATCGAGGTTCTTGTAGAATGGTCTGGACGTGTAGTATCCACTCCAGTAATGATCATCTCTATAGGATAATAAATACAAAGTCGTGATTTTATGGCATTCATGTCGTATAGGCCATGCCCAGGGTAAGGAACAAAATGGGTCGAGTTGGTATTGCAGTGTATTTTGGGGCTGTTTTAGGGGATGATATAGACGATATCTTGGGAATATGTCCCCTAAGACAGACCCAAGAAGCACTGGATAGCCAACTAGACCCTGTTTTGTCTCAACCTCGGAATGGCTGGTGGGGCAAAACAACAGACATTTTCTTTTTCGGGGATAAATAGTCTGGGTTTTATTATCATCATTTCATTATCAACAATGTCATCGCCATTATCATCATCATCATCATCATCATCATCATCGTCACCATCACCATCATCACTACCATCATCATCCTCATTGCGGCCATATCATCACGTTATTGCCATATCATTCCCATTATTATCATTACCATCATCATCATCATCAACACTAACCTTATTATCATATTAACACTACCATCATCATCAACAACATTGCCATATCATCACCATTATGCATCATCATCATTATTGCCATATCACCACCATCATCGTAGTAATCATCATCATCATCATTTTCATAACTGTGGTGATAGAGGTGTTTTACAGAAGCCATGTGGTTTTATGCTCAATCCATGCGCATGCTCCAAGTCTTACCTGTCAGAGTAAGTAAAAAAGTCTCCACTAAGAGTCTTCAACTTTGATGGTTTTTGTCCAGGTTCTGTTCCTAGAAGAAGAATAACCAAAACACATCAAACTTAGTTTTTACTGCTAATACTTGGTCCCCCCCACAAGCAATTGTCTTGTTGGTGTAGGCTGGCTGTGGTGGCTCATTTAGTAAAAGACTGGGAAGGAAGAAGTTACCAGTTCACTCTCCCTAATAGGGAAGCATGAGTGGTGTAGCTGTGAGGGTTTTTCTCCAGCAAAAATCAACATCTAGATTCTACAGTAACTCGATCTAGAATGGGCCTGGGAGAAAATTTCTCTATTTAAATCTTGTTACCCTATCAAATAGCATAGAAATAATGGCCGGGAAGTCACTTGGAATAAAGACTGCTCAAATTAGTTTTATCTCGGTTATACCTCATTTCTGGCTCAACGTTAGTGGTCAAAATGACCGCCAAGCCAAACATTTGATTGGACAAGTTCAAATTCTACCGTTATTTTTGGCTTTGTTTACCTGTTCTTTTATAAATAGCATTGAAGTATTCTGATAGTGTTCCAAATTGTGCCTGAAAAAAA